TGTAAATATATAGAAATTATATGATATCACTATTATAAAATTTTATTATTAACCACAGATTTCAACGGAAGAAAATCTACAGTTTTGGAATTAATTAATCGTTTGGATACAGAGAACTATTATTGTACGCGACATTTTGCAAACATTTTTAAAGAAAGATGAAATTAGTTTATGGTCGTTGAAATACTTAAGTCCATTTTATTCTGTACAATTATAATCTACGCGGCTCAGAATATATAAACATAAGCTATTACCTATTTCTAACTGAATATGAAAACAATGATAAGGAATTATTTCCAAAATATAAATATAAATACATACTAGATAAATTTGATTGAATTACAAAATAATATCATTCAATGATGAATGACAATAATTATTTACTTTAAGAGAAAATATAATATAATAATTATATATATAATAATTAATCAACTTCTTACAGTTTTCCAAATATTTGCAAAAAATATTGTTACTACTATCTTGAATTTTATTTACATACATGCGATCACTAATCAACTGTTTATATAAATACATTATAGCGATCGAAGGTTAAAATATGTAACAAACTGGTACATTTCGCGAATTCTTTATTATTATATAAATACGTAAAAAAAAATATAACATCAATCTTGGACAATCAATGATAATCAATGAAATTACAATAATACTTAATATCTATTGTGATAATTTTATATTATATATATATATATTATTTTATATTTTATTTTTGCTGATTTGAAGAATCAATTCAACTTGTTATCGTTTGAGATTAAGATATTTCGATTCTATTAAAATCCAGGAGAAAATAGCTTTTTGACTAATTCATCCGTTATACATTTTGTATATTAACGCACACGTTGTCATAGATGCATATGTATACTCGAAATGCAGTAATAGTAATCATTTTTTGCAAATATCTTGTAAACTTGGAATTCAATCGAAGATCACCGAAATAAATAAGAAAAATATGTGTTTTTAACAATATATGTCAAGGTCAAGATCATCGTTTAAAATAAATAATTATTAATATATATAAATTGCTAATAAATTTCGAAAAATATATAAAACATCATATTACTAATAAATTTCATAACAGTTTTATAATATTTATTTATAAATTTCAAATGATTTAAAAACTGGATATTGTGTAAATTGATAATAAATTGATTTATTTCTGTATTCACAAAATTGATATTATTTTTTTACCAATCGTAGAAAAAAAATACGATACGTTTGATATATTTAAGAAAGAGAAAGAAAAATAATATTTCCATCATGAGGAAATTGAATCACGGCAATTCAATTACCTGCCACTTTAAGATAATAACGAGAAGATGGTGCGAGTAATTAGTATCGAAGCGTTCATCAGACCTTGAATCTCGAATCTGAGAAGCGTTCAATCAAAGGAAAAGAGATTTTGACTAGAACAGCTTTCATCACCTACCAAAAGATACCTTTTCAATAATTTTCCAGTTATAATACTTCAAAATGGAAAATCAATGATTTTACTTAGATATAATCACGTTATACCAAACTATGTACAACAAAAAACAAAGCACTTATGATAAATATAAGATATTTTTATAAAAAATAAACAATTAGAAAAATTTAATTACAAAAATAGTTATTTGATAAAAAACAAACAATAAATATTTTTTCTTTTTTTAAACATTTTGATTATAATATTATATTTAAAGTACAATTAAATAAAAAAAATAATTACTTGAAATATCCATGTGTCAAATTTTATATCAACGTATTCACTGTGTATCTAGAGTTTATATATCAAATAGTTTATATATTAGTATAATCCACATTTCTCCAAATAACTTTTACAGCTTCATTTTTTCTTTATTCCATAATTTTCGCTAATAGTTCGTCGTATTGGAAGAAGAATTATGAAATATTCCATAATTGAATCATTACTGAATGCCTATATTTAAAATTTCATAGTTAAAAATATAGTATTCTTATATGTTTAAAAAAACATATCTTTATAAATATTTATGAATATTATAGGCAGCTACGTTAACAATAAAAAATTTAAGAAATAAGCATAATAAAATAACAAATATATACAAAAGATATATATTCAAATTTATGTATTCTGAAAAGATTTCTAAGAACTGCAAATAAAAATGCGATTACCACTCTAGCATTCATTGATTAATGAATTATAATTTCAAAGTAAGTGAATGAGATAGATCATAACTGTTTTATATTTAGTAGATTTTTAAATATAGCACTATTTATTAATTAGATTCTTAAATATAATACTATTCTATATATATTAGATATATATACCATTTCATTTTTTATTTTATCTTCTTCTAATAAAATCTAGATTTATAAATCGACTTTCATTTTGTTCGTTAATTGTATTTTAAAAAACTATTCAAAAGACACCAATCTTCTTAACTCAACATTTTAATATATGTGAAAAAAAATATGTAAAAATAATGCTTTACGCATTTAAACATTTAAATACTTTTTTACCTTTTAAAATTTTGAAAGCAATTTACTACTCGTTTTTGTTCGTCAAATGAATCCAACTTTTTCTTCTTCTGTTGTATTATTTCTTTTTTCTTTTTATATCAAACTTTTCCCTATTATTGTAATAATTTCTATTAATCTCGGTATATAAAAAACAAAGTAATAATGTGATACAGTTGCAACAGAAGAATTTGTTGAATTAAATTCACATAAAGTTATCTTGTTTGTATTCCTTCGGTCCACAGTCATGACTCGACTTGTTTAAAATCGAAAGTTTCAACGAAAAAAACAATAGGTCAAAACTTAGAGAAAAAATAAAAAATAAAATCGAAAGAAGATAAGAATTGGATGGCAATATTCCATTAAAACGAGGTAAAAATCACGTTTGTAAGTATGCACGGCTGTTAATTGATAAATAATAAAATAATAAAATAAAATTAACGAAATATTTTGAAGGATAAGAAAAATATGATATCATGATAACAATATATGAATAGAAAAATTCGAATCAAATGCGATTTGTAAATCGTTTACTTGAAATAAATTCTTTTTATCGGTTATTAGCTTCGAATCCTCGAGAATATTCGAATTGAAAATAGGAAACTAGTAAAAATTTATGCATAGACCTTACAAAAGAATCGGCTTTTTGAAATGTTAAGAAGAATCGATCGATCAATACTGACTTTATAAAATATATGGAAATCTTCGCTTCCAATTATTGTAATATATAAATTCAGTAAAATTCAAACATAATAATTTGATTTTCGATAAAATATGTATGTAATAAATGGCTTTATATTTTACTTATATTTTTATAAATTTCTAACCTATTTTTTCTACTTAAAATCATTAAAAGTAATATTGATTGTTACTCTCTGTTAAATAAAATCAAAATTTATGTACCGTCCAAAAATATAAATAACCATGGTATTTTACATACTGAATATTGAGAATAAATATGTATATCCGCAAAATATATATATATATATGTATAATATCATAGTATAGATTCAATTCATTGCATTATGATTTTAGCCAAGCACTCTGACTTCTTTGATGGCATTTTTATCTTTTTTAAAATATACAAATATTCTAAGATAGATACTACTTCATTTATGTATATATCTCTTATATCCATTGTACTATATTTATTTTATATTTTATTTGTATTAAATTTTGCCCTGCCAATAAAATATAAATAACAATCAAAATATTTTTTATCTATTTTAAATATTTATATCATAATATTTTTATGACATGATTTACATTCCAAATCATATTACAGGATATAATATATATAAACAAATAAATCTTTATTATTCTTAATCAGCACATATATTAAAAATTATATATCTGTCACTTTATTCTTTACATCCCAGACAGGATACTATTATTATCTCCCTATATCGATAATCATGACCGTAAAAGATTGTCCTCGTTAATATAACTTCAACACGATTAACAAACGAATAAATCGTATGAATTTTTTATATCTTGTCATTTTTATTTAAACAGTTAATTTGAAAAATATTAGATAGAAAATGAGCTAAAAAATAATAAAAATTGCCTAGAATTTTTTATGTATCAAGATATCTGATGGAACTTGATAATATTTTGTAATATCTCTGTTCTGAAATTATTCGTATCTTCGACTTAACAATCGTCTTATATATAATAAAACGTGTCGTAATTTATTAGAAATAGCATTTAAATTGAAAGTTTGAAGTATAATTCGTTTTTTATGGGAAAATTTAATTAGAAAATATAACATTCTCATATACAATCTAGACTTTTTCCCTTATGACTTCAATTATTTTCAAAAGATCTTTTAAAACAAAGATACAATTTCAATGAACAAAGTCAAATGCAAAAATGATTATCTAATCTAATTAAACGCTAAATTTTCAATGATGCAATAAAAAAATTAATACCCTAATATGATAAATGTCTCAATAAATATAATTATATAGAAAATTAGAATAGAAAAAGTTTTTAGATTATATTTTTAAATATTGAATGCTTAATTTTTTTTAATACAAATCCACATGCTATTTACTTTTTCTACCTATTTATATGTCTAAAGCAAGAATGAAAGTATAAAGTGATAGAATATTTTGTTATATAAATAATTTCTTATTAATACATAAGTAAGTACTTACACATCATCATTGTTTTTCTTTAATATAAAACTATGATCTTGTCCTCGACGAAACATTGATGATTCTTGTATATCAAATAGATAATTGATAGAAAGTAAGACAAAAACGGAAAGATTACTTATAATGACAAGTGTGATAAAAACTGCTCCGCAAAAGTTTCTATAAAGTGGCATATATTATTAATCACTGTGATTTTAAAAATCGACTAGTAAAGTGATTTAAATCGCTCCATAAATTTACACGCCATTATTCTTTCTCTACTCCCGGTGTACCATTAACTTGATATAAAAAGATAATAGATTCAAAAGACATTAATAAATTTGTGAATAAATTTAAAATTCTACTCACTTGTACAAATTCCCTCGTCCACTTCTCGAGTGTTGGGCAGCAAGTTTTTGATGACGCATTGTAAGCCGTTGGCACAACTTCCAGAAAATCCAAACAAACCACCGCATGGTTCTCCCTCGACACGAGCGCACACCTTACAACATCTGAAAATAATTTTGAACGAATTTTTCTATTTTATTCTGTTTCTCTATTCAACGACAATATAAATAAAAATAATAATACAAATTAATTTGATCAAATTATAAAATCACATTGAAATATATATCTATATTGATTTTCTTGTTTTATTATCACTTCATTTTTCGCTTCTTTTAAAAAAATGAATTTAAATGTAATACAATTCCTAATCAAAAAATTAAAATCTCTGTATATATATAATTTTCAAAATTTTTGCTGTTTCTAATATAGCATTTAATAATAACTTTTATAAACTATTTTTATCAATTATTAATATGCATATATTATATTTGTTTTCTCATATATATGTATATTAGGATTTTGTTTCCTCTTTTTGTTTTGATTATTCTTTCCAGTAAGCTCTTTTCCATGTATATCTTTTATTTTTGAATAATTTTATCAAATATCCATTTTTTTTTAAATTAACAATTAATGATGACTAATTTATATACAAATATTTTAAGTAAATATTTTCAATTGAATTCATTGGCAAAAATCAATGTAATAATATTAAATATTGGGAATATATTAAAAAATAATAAGATATTATACATATATCACAATATAAATTAAATTAATATATATATTTATCTTATTTATTATTAATTATTTCATATATATATATATATATTAATAATTAATAAAATTCAATTAAATTTCGATTTAATCTTTTTTAAATTACTAAAAATATAGAAAATGTTAACAATTGTAAGTGCTCCTAATTTTTTAGTTAGGAATATAATCATTATAAACGAAATTCACCTACTTTGGTACGATATTCACATTATGAAAATTAAGAAATCAAGTTGAAGAAGCAAAAAAATATAAAATAAAGAGGAAGAGAAAAAAAAAGAAAAAAATAAGTAATAGTAAAGAACCCGTTATGCTTTGTACAGAATATATTTCTGATTACGAGGAGCAATTTTATTACGTTGTCTTATCGTTGAATCGAGAGTAATCAATTTTTTTATATTACGTTTTTATGAAATAATTTTCTCTACCATCATTCATTTTATAACAGTCTTGATCTAAGATACTCATCTATTACATTCAATTTATAATTAATTAAATATATATTCTTTTATCTAAATATTAATTTATACTAAATATAATTTATTAATTATTTATTATCTATATTTAATTATTAACTTGATAAATTATTATTTAATTATTCAATTATCCATATTGTCAATTATTTAATTACCTATGCTGATTAATATGTTCAGAAAAATTTAATTTTGCTATATCAAAATCAAATATCATGAAATAGCAGATCTAACAATAATATATTATACTAAATATTTTTGAATAAAAACATTAATATAAAATTTTACTTATAAATTTAACTAATAATAAGTAACTAATTTTAATAAGTAACGTTTAATAAATCGATATCAGAACAATATCTCACTATTAATATTATATATATATATTAATTATAATATTATACTATAATTAGTGATATTATAGTAATATTATAAAAATTATTATATAATAAATTGCATTAAAGAACATAAAGATTGTAATAAAAGAAATATATTCAAATAAGAATTCATGAATAATAATCTAAAAAGATGCATATCAATATAATAATATTCAAAGTGTTTCCATAATTATGAAAGTCATTAGACAAGCTATGATTAAAATGTTCGTTTCATCGCACGAAAATAAATATTTAAATTGTTTGAGGCACGCAAAAAAAAAATCATATAATTCGTCATCAAAATGATAAGATGAAAACAATCTCCATTTACCGGCATGAATAATACATCGTTAAATATTAAAATTGTTATTGATTAAACAAATCGCCTACTTCCTCTTTGGAAAGAAAAATATAATTCGTTTCCTTGAAATTGTAACTTGAATCGAGTTAAAGAACTCGATCAAATTCAAAATAATCGTACAAATAAGAAAGATCTCTTATATAAATTCAACCTTGATTATTTACAATTCAATTACTCACGAAAAGTGCGTCATTAATTTACAGTTCGTCTAACTGAGAAAAAGTAAATATTTCAATATTGTAGTATATATTACCATATATAAAAATTTATAAAATACAGACTCTTATTTTTGATTGCATCAGAATTTCAAATGTTGCAATTTCCTGCCTTAAAGGATTGTGAGATAATGTTTAATCCGTATTTTAATTTATTACTTTATTGTTTATAGTTATGTCGAAAAAAAATTATCTGATATTGTAACGTAAAAAACGATCGATATGCAATAGTCGTTCGAACATGCGAACGAAAAACAGCATAAAATTTCAAAGACTGACGCTTTTGTTCACTACTAGTTTGAATATTCAAGTTTCCTTTTATCAAACGCTATTTTTTATCAGTGCATATCACTAATAACGCAACAAAATTCATCAGACAAAGAACATTACACAAAAAACAGATTTTTTTCCTTTTTCGTTAAAAAAGAAATCTTTTTTTCAATGAAAACTTTAATAATAGAAGATCTTTCAATGAACATATGACAGACACGATGAGAAAATTATTTATAGAAATATTATTTATAGGAAAAGCAAAAGAAAGAAGAAAAAAAAGAAAAAATCAATTATCGGTCGATTTTGATTAGAAGAAGTAATTAATGATGTTCTATGTATATATATATATATATATATATATATATATATATATTAA